CTCTGTCCTGATCAAATCCCTAGTTCTTCCTGCAAGACTGAGCTCTGACCTCTCCTCCTCCAGGAAGCCTTCCTGGCTCACACTGTCCTGCTACCCTCCCATCCATTCGTTCAGTGACTACTTACTGAGCACTGAGAGCCGAGAGCGAGGGATGGAAGCTAAACCCTGCTTTTGAAGAGCCCACAGTCCCAGGAAGCACACATCAGGAGTGTAATCACTAGCATCAACTGTGCATCTACTAAGTGCCAGGCGCTGTGCTCATGACAGTCCCATACGTGCATTTTATGAATAGCTCCGATTTAAGGAAATAAGTCTCAGAGAGGTTAGCCTCATGCCAAAGGCCACACAGTACAGGATGCCAACGCCTATCTCTCTGTCCCTAGGGCCTGAGCTCTTAACCGACAGGCCACGTCAGTGAGCACAGTGACAGGGATGTGCCCAGATGGGGATGGTCTAACTCACCTGGGCTAGGGTGTCAGGGAAAGCCTCAGAGATAAAGGAAGCAAAGGAAGGCATTGCAGGCAAAGGGCACAGGCTGGGCACAGGCAAGGAGGGGCAGTGTTGGGGTGGCTGGCAGGAGAGACGGGCCCTCACCTTTGTCTCTAACATCTGTTGTTTCTCTTGTTGCTAACTTGCATTTTCAAGAGTATGTCATTTTCCCATCACTACTGTGCCTGTGTGAGGTCAGTCCTCAGTCTACCGACGTGAGAGGTGCTACAGAGAGGAGGAAGGCCGGTGGGGGTGTCCCCACGCTCTCCTCTGGGGGTGTGGGGCCCTAGCCAGGGGGCGGGCGGGTGGAAACATCTTCTGAGCACGGAGGTCTGGCAGGAGGTGGGGCACCTGGGACCTCGATTCTGCACATGGTGTTCAATGTCATGCTGGGGAGGGCTTGAGGACTCCAGGGCCCACCTGCCATCTGCATTAATCAGCTGGGCAGACCCCCTGGGGGAGTGATGGGGGGGCACTCGCTGCATCTGGGTAAACGGAGGCACGGAGAAAGGAAAGCAGGGCTGGAGGGAGGCGTGTGCTTCAGGATGTGCTTGCACACCTGCCACGACCCACCTGCCACGACCCAGACACCTGTGTGCTGACGTCCCTTCAACCCAGCGTTACATGTCCATCCAAGCTGGTGGGTAGGCACGGCAGCCACCATCATCTCCCATTACAGATGGGGAAACTGAGGCTCAGGGAGTTTACAAACTTGCCTCAGATCACCAAGCCCGAGTAGAGTGGCAAAGCCAGCGTGCGAGCTCAGGTCTTCAGGGTCCAGGCCCAGGGCTCGTGCTGGGACAGCGTGCCTCCTCTCTCAGGAACCTTCTACCCGTCTCCGCCCCCTCTCTGCCCAGACCACTGCACTCTTCCTGCTCCTGTCTTTCTCCCTCAGCAGTGACTCCCCCGCCCTGCAGAGGCGCCCTGGGGTGGACAGTGGGCGACCTTGATCGACTGGGGAAGCGGTGCTTCTCAGACCACGCCCTGCCTGCATCAACCCCCTGGTGAGCAGCTTCGCTCAGCAGGGCTGGGGCGGGACCCGGTACTCTGCATTTCTGACACGGTGCAGCTCTGCTCCTGGTCCAAGGACTACATTTGGGGAGCAAGTGGGTAGTCGTAGGGCTGTGGTGAACATCACCTGTCTGGCCTGTGGCTGGTGCTGCGTTTTTCTCCCTCTCCCTCTCCTTCCTCACCATCTCTCTCCGGAAGCTCAAGGGCTAGCTTTTGTCTCAAAGGCACAAGGAAAGGGCTTCCTCCTTCCTTCACAGCAGCTGTCTCCTCTCTCTCTGAGCATGCTCCTCATGCCCACTGCCTCCCCTGCCCCCCTTCCCAAAGGGATCCGGGAATGGCAGTTGCCCTCAAGGGCTGAAAACCCTTTCTGGGCACCGCCATCCCCTCGTCGCCTCGGCCCCGCAGCCTCGCCAGGCCGCCCTCTCCGCAGGCCCTGGGAATCAAGGGGTGCAGGGGCATCTCTCTGCTCAGCCCTCGCTGAAATGTTGCCCTTGCCCAAGAATCCTCGGTTGACAGTTCATCCCTATTAATTCTCATTGTGCATTTAGGGCCCATAGGTTTTTATTTATTCATTTATCTTCCTTCCCCTGCCCCTCCCTCACCAGGCTGGAATTTACAATTCACTTTTCAGGTGGCTTTGCTGAAGGACACAAGCCTAGGGGGAGAGAGGGTCTGCACCCCGAACCCTGAAAAAGGCAGCTGCCCCCTGGTCCCTCTTGCACCCTCAGGGTGCCCTGGGGCTCGCACTCCAGTTGGGTGGTTGTGGGGACAGCCCAGCACCAGCTGCAGGAGGGTTCCCTGGAAATAGGGACCTGCAGGGGATTGCTAGATTAAGGGGGCAGTGGGCCGCCTGGCTACCGTTAGGGTGCCCCCTGGTGGCGGGTTAACACTTGCTGTGGCTGGAGGAGTTAGCTGCCTGAGCATGCCTCCTCATCTGCCCGCTGCCCTGAGGCTGAAAATACAGGGCAGAGCATCCTCAGGGGAGAGAGGCGAAGAAAAGAGGCAGGACGCCACCAAGGGCGTAATAACAACAACAACAACACAACCGCTCCCGCACATTGAGCACCTACTATGCGCCAGCACTGCACCCAACACACATGACCAGGCTGTACCCCCACCCCCACTGTGACAGAGCAAGAAATCTAAGCTGGGAGAGGGAGGCCAAGCCACCTGCTGGCAAATTCCCAGCATGCCTTCCAGACCGAATGACCTTGGCAGGATTTAGGCAACACCTTCTAATCCCTAAACTGGGATTAGAACAGCACTGCCTGAGCGCCCTGGAGACACTCAAATGAGACACACGCGGGACCTGCTCAGGAGAGACTGCAATAAACTGGTGTGGGGGTTGGGATCCGCCTGGGTGTGACCCCCTCCTCCCTGCAGAAGCCAGCCCCCGCCCAAGGAAGGCTGCATCCCCAGCCTTGTCAGCTGCACATTGTAATCAAAGACAGAGCGGATGGCAGCCTGTAATGAAATATTTAAGTCCATCAGACAGGTGCCGAGACATTGGGGGCCCACCTATGAGGGGATGTTGGAGATTGCTCCTTCCTCCCCTGCCTCACCTGTCTTCCCAGGAGAAAGAAGGAGGGATCAAAAGCCTCTTCCCAAGCCCAGGGCTCAAGGACACCTGCCTGGGCTCAGGCTGGTTGGCATCAGGACTGTGGGGGTGACCAGCCCACCGTGGCAGCTGCACTGGGCTCTCTGTGTGAGGGTGGAGGTCCAGGGCCAAGGTCATCCGAGCCAGCTTCGGGCAGGAGAGGGCCTTGGGCCCACATGTGATGGTCATCTCCACTCCTCCAGTCCTTGGCCAGAAGTGGTCCAGCGAATGATGATGTAGCGGCTCTGCCCCTTACCCCTCCCTCAGCACATTAAGGAAATGATTAATATTTAAGAGAAGAAATATAGTCAGGACTCTAATACGAGAGGCAGGAGTTGACTCTGCCCAGGGAGTTTTCACAGAAGTCCTCACACGGGCTGAGTGGGTGGGCAGCCAGCCCGAGATGCGGACTCAGAGCTGGGCTCCCCCCGGCCTTGCCCTGACCTCCAGGCAGCCTCCTTGTCTGTCTCTGAGCCAGTGGCGCTCCGAGGTCCCCAGTGCAATGATCCCCATGGACTACCCAGCGCCAGCTCCCAGCCCTCCCTCTGTCCCTCTCCCTAGCCCAGCCGCTACCCACAGTGACAGCTCCTGACTGCTGCACAACCAAGCAGGGACCTGCCTTCCTGGGCTGACTGCCCTGTGATAGGATCGAAGTGTCCCATGGGACTGAGGCCTCCTCAGGAGCCTGGTAGGGCACCAGCTCAGGTCAGCCATAAACCCAGGGACCTGGAGGTTCCCCCAAGGACACGGAGGCAGCAGACACCCCACAGATGACACTGAGCCCCTCCTGTAAGCTCCTGCTGCCTGGCTGCCCTGCCCAGCCTCCTGCCAGGCACTGGGCCTCCAGAACAATGCCCAGCGGGGAAGGCACCTCTGGGCAGGCACTTTAGCTCAGTGATTTTGGGGCCAGACACCTAAATCACAGCTTCACCCCTTCCTGGTGTGTGCCTTTGGGTCTCAATTTCTCCATCTGTATGATGGGAATGACAACAGCTAACATCTAAGGGGTGCTTGCTCTGTGCCAGGCCCATTCTGAGCATTTTACACACATGAATTAGCTCTCTTACTCCTTACAACGACCTATGAGTGTGTGCTATTAGTGTGCCCATTTCACAGATGAGGAAACAGGGGCCCAGAAATACCACTGGTCCAGAGCCATCCCCTACAATTCCTACTTTAGACAACACAGAATCAACTTGGCTGAGCTGAGATGGATGGCATCTATCAAGCTCTTAGCCCAGGCACTCAGGAGTTCCCATGAATGATCCCTGCCATTATTGTTGTTGTTGTTGATATCACTTGAGTACTGAAGGGCCCCGTGGCACGTAGGGATGGAACTGGAAAGGCACCAGGCACACTGTCCATCCTGGTCTGACCCTCTCCTTCCTCCCTTATGAATACCTCTGAACTTCCATCACACCTCCCATGGTGAAATGCCAACTCGGTGCGTGGCATACCCTGGCCTGGCAACACTGCTTGCTGGATTGGATCAGGTGAGGCAGAAAGGGTGAGCAGAGGGAGGTCAGAGCGTAGTGTTGCAAGAGTACCTCGCTCACTCCTGCAGAATGCTGACTTCCTACAAGAGAGGCGGGGCTTATCTGGGAGGCGGGGCTTATCTGCCAGGCTGGAACTGTGACAACTACGATCTTCCCCAGAGAAAAGGATCTAGTGGACCACTGGCCAAGGATTCCCCCACCCCAGAGAGTAATGTCACATGACCCCAGGGTCCTCAGGGTGGTCTCTGCTTTGGCACATTTCCATGGTGGCACAGAGACGCGGTCCCAATCCAAAATGCAGGCAAGTCGGTCTTGCACCTCGGTCCTCCCACTTTGCTCCCCCACCCCAGTCTGTCCCAGACCCCCTCCCATCGGCCCGAGCAAACAGCAGCGGTGGGCTGACTTACATGGGAGCAGAATCTCTCAGGGGGGTCTCCACACGTGATGCCCGAGGGCTCCACCTTCACCTTGACGTAGTCTTTCAGGTGCATTACTTTGGGTTGGCAGGCGTAGAACTCCCAGGTGGGGCCCTCGTCCGAGGTCACCCAGGATTTGCAGATGTCATAGTCCCCGGAGGCCAGCGGGAGGCAGTGCAGGAGGAGAGCCAGCAGGGCGAGCATGGCTGTGCGGTCCTCGGGGGTGCGGCCCAGAGAGGCCGTGGAGAGGCAGCGGCTGGGTCAGGCGGGACTCGGGCCTCAGCATGGAAATGCTACATCTACCAGGCGGCGAGGCCGGCTGTCCCAGGGACTCGAGCGCGGCCGAGGCGCAGCGAGGAACTTGTTTTTCCCACCAGGCCAAGATGGAAAACTCAGAGCCAGCGTTTCTCAGACTGCTGCTGGGCAGATCAAGAAGTTGCCCATAACTCGGTGTCCTCCTAACCTTGGCAGCACACTCTCCCAGAGGCGAATCTGGTCAACTCAGGCAGGCTCTCCGATTGTGACAGTGGATGGAAATGGGATAGGGAGGAACTCCGCGGGGAGGTGGCATGGGGCTGGATCCGATTGCCTTTAATTGTTGTCCTCCCAATCAATCCTGGTCTTTCAAGGGCCCTTCATGTGTGATGTGCTCAGCACTACTGCACAACAACCCTCTGGCCTGTGTTGTGAAGATAAAATAAAATCAGAAGGTGGACCTGCGGGCTGGAAACATGGTCCCTCGATGGGGCTGGACTTGGCGGTTCAGACCAATAAAAGAGATTTCTTTTCATATGGGTTTAAAGTGACAACAGTTGTGGGCTGGACTAGAACATAAAAAAGCTACTGAGGTGTTGACTGGGGAGAAGCTTATTTGGCTCTGTCTTGGTGGGGACAGGCACTAATGGAGGCCAGCTGACCTTGGCTGGTAGCCATTGGCAACTTATTATGAAGTTTCTGGGACTTCAGCTCAATCCATGCAGGTACCCAGGGTCTGGCTTGTCTTTCATTGTAAGAGGGGAGGAGAGCTCATTAGCAACAACACCTGCAACAAATTAAAAAGAGAAGGGGCGATAAGGACGTAGAAGAACAAAAGCTCTCTGGCAAAATGTGCAAAAAACAAGGCTGCGTTAGCAAGGTCTCCGGAGGAAACTGGGTTATTTTTACCACTATTGGAGTTGCACATTTGAAAACCGGGCACATTATTAAAAAGGTGATGCATTTTCTCCTCACTTAATGGGGGTGTTAGGCCAGCACAAGTGCCCCTGCTTGGGGTCAGCGACTCTCTAAAACATCCGCAGTAGCCAAGATTGAATGGTTGCTTCAAAACACCATGACTGACTAGTCCAAACATCAAAGCAGAGATGCGACTGTAACCACAGGTGCCGATGGGACCTTGCACACAGGTACAGGTAAACTGGTCCCTGAGTGGGCCAACGGTTAGGAACCAGGGGCTGATAAACAGCTCTCCAAATTCTGCAGTGGTGAGTTCCATTTTTAACTCTAAGACGCTAGGGATGTTGAAGACTTCAACAGAAGTGACAATAATTTGTCATTTAGATTTTCTGATCAAGGCCATCATTTTGCAATCATCCTTAGAGGGCATGTTTATAAACAGACCACTATTATGAGTATTGCTTTACTATTTTAACCTACTGGTAATCATTTAAAAGCCCAAATAGATACGACTCATACGAATGTTATATTGTGAAAACCACGAGTCCAGTAATATTGTATGTTCTCAGACACGTGACACATCACCAGGAGAACTTGAGTCCAGCCAGTGCGGGATCCTGACCAAAAATACTAGCCAACAGGGCAAAGGTTACTGCAATGAGTCACAGCAGAAGCGCCGTTACTAATTATTCTGGTTATCATGCCCATAATTATTGCATCTAAATTCCCTAACCGCCACAGCATGGGTGCTGACCAGCCTGCCTCTCACTCACATCCCCTCCAGCCACTGTACGCAGAGGGTCCCTGAACAGTCAGCTCCGTTCCATGAAACCCATTCTCCACCCAGACACAAAAACACTTGTGCCCCAAATGACAGACTGGAAGGGTGGACACTGTCCCAAGGGGGCTGAGGACTCAGCACCTCCTCCAGGAGAAGCCAGTGCCCCCAGCTCCAGGCCCTGGTCATAAATCTGAATTAAGGCGGCCCCTGCCCCTCTCTCTGGCTGAAGCTCTGTTGATGGAGATGGATGAGGGGCAAGGGGACCACATTTTCATGTCTCACCTCTGGCTGTTTAAAGACAAACCTGTTATAGAGTCTGCCGGGCCTTGAATGCGCTCCTGGCTAGAAAACTCTCAGAAAGAACCCGCCTGGCGACTATTTTTACAACCCGAGAAAATGTAGTAAAAATAAAATAGCTCGGCCTGCAAAGGTTTGGATGCTTTTACCCAAGCGAGCTTTGTGCCGCTCAGAAAAAACGGCAGGTCCCTAATTAATTCTTCCAGCCGCGGAGTCCCAACTGTTCACTAACAGGTAGGGCGCTCCTGACGGCAGGGGGTCCCGGGGCGCCGGGCTGCGGGCTTCCTTCATCTGCAAGACCGGCGGCTGCTCCGCTGCTCGGCGGCTCCGGGTGGGCCGGCGCTGGACCCGCCGGCGTGGGGAGGCAGCGAGGCCCGGAGGCCGGGAGGCCCGGGCCAGCGGCGCGCGGGGCCACTCGCAAACCGATTGCGGTTCTGTTGGCTTAAACGCCACGCAGTCCCCGAAAATGGGGCAGACGACAACAAAATCTGCCGGGGGCGGGGGTAATGAATGCGTTTACAACTAGTCAATCAACTGGGCGTTGCTGCCACCGTGGAGGAATTGTGAACTCAGCACGCGGATATTACAGTCGGTTTTTGCCAAAAAGAAAAAAAGGGAGGGGCGGAGAGACGCCACAGTCCCCGGAATCAGGAGGCGGAAAGCGGAAGGGAGAAGCCAGCAGGGAAATTTCAGAGTAAGAGGTTGTATCCCGGTGGATCGTTTTCTCCTCGGAAAATAAATCTCCACCTGATATTATTAAGAAACTGCAGCTCCCCGAAACAAATGGAATCGATGCGCTTTATTTTCTTTTAAGAGTCCTCAGGAGCCGAGGGGGGCTGATAGCCAGGGTATTAAAAACCCGAAAATTAGATTTTACCAGGATTTCTGAACTCCGGTTTCTCTGTCTTATTGAATTAGCGCCTCTCGGAGCTGGCTCCTCCCGGACTTGCCGGCTGCGCCCTCGCCTCGTGGGAAACTTGCCGCGTGGGCGCGGAGCTCCGGGGTCACCGGAGGGGGACCTGGGGGCTTCTCCCAGGACCAGGCCCACTCCGAGGTTCCCTCTCCGTTCCCAGCGCGGGCTGCCGAAGAGGGTGAAACTGCCTTCAGGGGGTGGTGCTGGGAAGAAAGGGGGAGCCGGTCGGGGTCACCTGCCCCCCCCCCGCCCCGGGCCGGGCCGGGTCCAGTAGGTGCCCCGCTCACCGCCGGCTCAGCGAGCGTCCGGGTTCCGGAGGCCCCGGTGCCCCGGCCCGGGAACAGGAGCCTCCTCTGGCTCCCGACGACCCCAGGACCCTCTCTGCGACTGAGGAGCCCCGAAAAGTTGAGTGCGGAGGGGGTGCGGCGCGAGGAAGAGGCCGCGGCTGGGCTGCTGGGGCCGGGGCGCGTCAGCCCTCCGTGGCGCCCGCCGATGGGGTCCGGGTGAGTCCGCGCGAGTCCGCGCTTCGGGTGGGCTGCACGCGGCGTGCACAGCACTTGGACGTGCCGTGTGATCCCGCAGCTGCTTTTTGTCCACCGAAGTTGAGTGAAGCCATGGGAACAATGAATAATCAAGCTTTTAATGAAGGCCAGGTCGGCACCGAGGGTGTCCCCTCATTGGGCGCAGCCTCCCTTAATTAGAAGACACCGAGCGAAGCGCCACAAATTAGTTGCACCCGTTCCCCTGCCGCCGCCCCCTGCTCAGGCAGACAACTTACTCCCGCAGCGGCGACCCGCGAGCCCCCCGGTCCTCTTCCCGCTTTCCTGTCGCTTCTGCTCCCCCATCTGTGTGCCACCCAGTTGGAGGTTCGCCTCCACAGCGTCCCCAAGCCAGCCCCTGCATGCCCCCCTCCTCCGTGAGTCCACCCCTCCGTGGCACAGACAGAAGTTTCCAGTCCTGCATGGCGAAGAGTTTCTCTGTGCAGCTCACCCATACCCAGTTTTCGGAGAAAGGGGAAGGGGGTGGGGCGGGGGCTCTGGACGGTGGTAATGAAATTGGAGTGGGGTAGCGGCGCGAGAGAAGGGTTAATTTCCTCTTTACAAACACATCCAGGCATTCTAACGACACCCACCCTCACCACACACACACGATGGAAAGAGACCCCGGTGGGGAACAGCCAGCCAGGAAGACGAGCTACTCCTTTAAGATGCTGCTACAAATGCACACTCACACACCCCTCTCCCGCGGCTCCAGTCCTCCGCTAGTAGCAGCCGCTACCAAACAACTTTTGCATCCGAGCCGTTGCTGGCTGGGCTGCTGTAGCGGCTCCTGGGCCCGGGAAAGCCTGCATGGTCACCGAAGCCCTTTAAAATGAAACCAGGCTGGCGAAGCTGCAGCAGCTCTCCCCCCGCGGGCTCCCGGGCGCTCCCCGCCCGCCTTACCCCGGCTCGGAGCAGCTTCCCGGAGCGGAGACCCGGGAGGCCGAGGACCGCCACCCTATGGCGCTCCGCCTCCCCTCCGGCTGGCGCTGGGTGGGGGCGAGGGCGGAGGGCTGCGAGCCGGTGCTCCTTCCCCGCGCCGCTCCCGCCGCCGCTGTGGCCGCCGCCGCTGTGGCCGTCAGAGTGGAGCTGGGGAGCCCTCCGGCCGCCGGGGGGGCCGCCCGCAGCCGTCCCGGAGACGCGGGCCGGGGGAGGGGGCCGCCCGCGCCTCCAGCATCGCCCGCCCTGGCCGAGCGGGAGGTCGCCGCTAACAAGTGCAAACTTTTTGGTCCCCCTGGGCGGCTCGCAGAGGACCCGCGCTCGGGCGGCGGGCTGCCCCCGGCCCGGGTGGGCTTCGCAGCTGCTCGTCGGGGCGCCGGGGCATCCCCTGCGCGGTGCGGGCCAGATGGCGGGGCGCTTCACTGCCCCCCTGCACTCCGCTCCAAGTTAATGCCGAGGCTAAATCCTCCTGCCATCACTCACGATCACCATCGGGGCTTTTATCTCTCGGTCTGATCCGGGCTGCGTAACTTCCTCTGTGTGGCTTGAACACACCATCCCACCACGGAGCAACGGTCTTAAAGGTGCAGGAAGGAAATACTGCGAGACTCGGGGGACGCGCCACGGCCCCGGGAGGGGCGCCGCGAGCAGGGGCGTCCCGGCGGGCCCGCGGCCAGGATGGCCCCAGCAGGCGGCCGCGGGAGCGAGCCTGCTCTGGGGGGTCGCTGTCTAAACATCTCCTCCCGGCCCGGGGGCCAGCGGGTCCCCGCGCGCAGAGCGCATCCTCAGCCAGCTCGGGTCAGGCGCGGCGGGGCTGCAGCTTCCTTTTCTGAAACCCAGGGGCCGACCGGGTGCCAGCGCCCCATGGGCGTGGGGGCTGCCCCATCGGCACCAGGGAGGGGACCAAGTGAGTCAGTCCGCCCACCCCAACAGCCAAGGGCTCAAGGCTGCTGCTCTGACTCCCTCGGTGAAGTGCTGCCGCCCAGAAGGCCCCAAGCAGTGGGTAAAGAGGTGGGTGGGTGGATTTGGGGAGATGGGGAGGGGGAGCGATTTGAGCGCACAACCAGAGCCTGAATACCAGCTGACACATGCCGCCTCCACCCTGATGGGCCCTGCTTTTGAGAAGCCAAGCCATCTCCAGAGGGAGAGCAGAGTAGGGGGGCAGGAGGGGCGCACTCCCTGGTTAGCAGGGGAGGAGGGTGTGGGAGGACTCCTGCAGGGGTAAGGCAGAGGCCACCCAGTTGGCCACACTGGGCAGCTCTGGGCTCTTCAACCCCCTGGGGGTTTCCTGCCAGGCTGCTCCCAGGGTGGTGGGGAGAGCCTCTGTCTTCCAGGGGGACATGTGGTTTCAGGTGCTCCTGGCCTCCTCCAGGGTGGGTTCTCACTGCAGCACACAAGCAGACAGCACCATCATTTGGATGCATCAAGAACAAAGAGCCTGAGGACACAGGGAGAGAAAGAGAGGGACTGGTCCAAGGTCACAGAGGGTGTCAGGATCAGGAGCGAGATGTGGTACCCCAGTGCTCCACCCCTCTGCCATCCCCTACCTCTGCCTTAACCCTTCCCTGCCTCTGGTCCCGCTGAGCTTGGAGAGGGGCTGTACTGCTGAATCACATCCAGGCTCACCACAGAGCAGGCAGAGGATGCAGAATTAAAGACTGTCATGTGCCTCAATAATAATAATAATGACATTTATTGAACACCTGTTTTATGCCAGGTTCTTTGCAAACCAGATTGCGAATTATCCACCGATTCATCCCAACAGCCCTGTAACTTAACTCCTGTTAGCCATGTCCCAAGGTATAGATGAAGCTTAGAGATGTTAAGGTACTTGCCCAAGGTCACACAGCTACGGAAGTCTCTGACCTGGGAAGCAGGGTTCTCAGTCCCCCAGGTGGAACTCTGCCACTACCTGACTTGCTGATTAACTTGGGCACGGCACAGAGTGCTTGTGGGCCTCAGTTTCCCCACCCGTGAGATGTGAAGAGTGAATCTTTCTTTCCCAAGGAGGGGTCAAAACAAGGCCATCAAGGGGCCCCTCCTGCATGTGGGCTCAGATCCCACCATTCGGAGAGGGGCCCACACCACACAGCTGTCCTCGGGAGCAGATGCTTGCCAGCCCCTGGGCGCTGCTCCCAGGCCTCAGAGCGTCAGGCAGGAGGAAGCTCCTCCTCCAAGGAGGACACATCTCGGTTGGATTTTTAAGCATGCCGCCTGCAGGGAGCAGTGCCGGGCACAGTGTGGGGCTCCCTGGAAGGCAGGGTGAGTGATGACCTGGGTCAGCCCTCAGCCTGCTGTCGCCCCCTCAGGCAAGGTCGGGCCATCAATTCCTGGGTAAAGCACTGCTCCTCCATCATCAGCGAGACTGGCTGCTGACAGGACAGCCAACGAGGCACGGAGGAGGATGCTTCTTGTTGTGGTTCATTTAAACACAGTGGAGAGACCCGGGGCATGTCCTGCTATTGCCCCAATAGTTTCTGTGACCATGCCAAGCTGTGTGCCGCTGGAAACAATGTTTAAAATGGCTTTCCAGGCCCACTCTCCCCAGGACTCCCCACCTCCCCAACAAGCTGAGGCCCACAGGCTTTTCCGGGGAGCCATTCCAGAACCTGTTTCTGTCGTCCCGTTTCCAGGCCCTGGGAATTGTGGGGGAGTGGAAAGAGCACTGACCTGAGAGTCAGGACAATGGATTTTTTTTTGGTTCGGCCCCTAACTAGCTATTGGCTTGGGGTCATCACTGCCCTGCTCTTGGCCTCAGTTTCTCCATCGGCATAGTGAGGGGCTTGGCCCAGGAGTGTGGTCCCTGGGGACGATCTGAGTTGACAGCAGGTCATAGCAGCCTCCAAGGGATGCGTTCCTTTCGAGGGAACAGTAACGTGCTTGTTTCCGGGGACGGGAAACAAATAGATTCCAGCCATGTAGGGACCAGGTGGTCAAGGGACGTTCATTTTTAAACTTCATTATGGTACCTTATGACAAATGACCTTTTCCCAGCAAAGAAAAGAAGCCAAGCACCAGGGGCAGGAAAGTGTTAATGAATCTCCCCCCTGCCCCCCAATAATCGCTGGCTCTCTCTCACCAGCAGCCTAATCATCCTCTTCACTGGTGGGATTTTGGCTCCGCCGCACAATTTTAATTTGAATTGTGGATGTGGAATCTACTATCAAAGCATCTGCAGAACAATGCATTTAATTCTATTCCATCTGTTTTTTTTTTAAATAGAGATATATAAAAGGATATATAAAGAGAGAGATGTATCTATCTATCTATATCTATGTACATGTATATAATAAAGATACCAAAGTGTGTGCAGAGGGAGACGGGCAGGGGCATGTTTGGTACACAGATTCTTTCTGTGTTGCTTGACAATGAGGAAGTATGTCTAAACGGGTAGACGAGTAACAGGAAATTATAAAGTCACCCACAAAAATGATCTACTAGCTTTGCAATGAGAGATAACAGATGAGGTCCAGGCCCTCTGGAGATTTCCAAGAGAAGGCAGAGCCTGCTGCAGACAGACAGAAGGACAGACAGATGAGTTCTCACCGCTGATTAGAGGCAAGGGTAAGCTCAAAGCCACCCCCACACAGGCTCACCCTTCGCTTTGTTCACTGACTCTTATGCCAGACCAAGACTGTGATTTGTCCCCTTGACCTTGAGCAGTTGCGATGCGGCTGTAAGTAGGTGGTAAGAGCCTGGGAACTAGCCCAGGACCATCCAGGAGTTTCCAGGCAAGCCTGGGCCCTTAACTCCCACAGCCAAGGCAGGGGTGGGGCACGGAAACCAAGACCCAAGCCCAAGGCCTTCCCCAAGGTGACACTCCAGCAGAGGCTGAGGCCGCAGGGAGCACCCCGACTCCTCTCTGTCAGTTCTTTGCTCTAATCCCCAGACCATATTCCCATTAATTATTATTACCTTATTAATCATACCGTGATTAATTCAGTAATGGGGATTCATAATTGATTGCATTTTT